ATCAGCTACCCCCTCACCCAGGCTTGCTTGCCTGTCAGTTTGCTGCAGACAGTATATAGAAGCAGGGAGGGAGAGTGAAAAGCTGTGTATCATCAGCAGATGCATACACTGCACACCCCGACTTGCCTCAGAGTGCAGGCTGGCAACACTCGTCCCCTTTGAGCAGTGAGCAGGGAAAAGGCTGGGACTGCAGGCATGGTGGGGGTTTACACTCCTCCCTAATCAGAGCCCTGCTGGGGCCTCAGTTTAGCTCTGTGGAAGGGCAGGGCTCCAGCCTAAGCCACTGCAGGCATGTGCCTGAGTTTCCTTAGTGCAGAGAGATTGTCTGTATGGTTGGAAACCAGTTAAGCTTAGCCAAGTTAAAGTAACCTACAAAGTTTGAATCAATTCAGGCTCAGGCTTTTTGAATGTCTGTCCCTAGCCGTAAGGGCTGTTTCCAGTCCATCACACTGCTGGTGATCATTACCTTATGTGAAATGAGTGGGATTCTATGTGAAGTAGGTGCAGGCTGGCAAGAGAAGGCTACAGTCTGGCTTGTCATTATCTAATCCTGTTTATAAAAGGTCAGTGTTTGTTATTCTTTTATAGGAGGGTAACAGAGCCAGAGTTCTCTTGCCATCCAGGAGTTATTGGATACAGCGTGTTTGATCCTCCCCTGTCCTGCACTTGTACAAGGTGGAGGTGGTGGAGATTACCATGTCCCAATTACTGTGTTTTACTACCACTATACAGTACAGCGTGCCAGAGGGTGAATCAGGCTCCTTATGGGAGCTGGCAGCAGGCCTGGGCCCAGGTATTTCGTGGTTGGTGTAGCACCCATTCTTTTCAGTGGGATTTACCATCATTTAACTGAGTTTCTACTCTTGTCTTCTTCCCTGAGGTACCATGTCTATTCAGGAAACATAACCTGTTTAAAGTACTTCTCTGCCTGGGTTCCTAAAGTGGGTGCTGCTTTCAGTCCTTAGATTGCAGCCAGGAGACTAAACAAGTGTGTTTCCCTTCCCTGTCACTTGGGGAAGAGCCTTTTTTGCCAGCTTGTCTCTGACCTATGCTCCCCTTTCCCACAGAAGGTCAGCTGGTTACAGGTTTCCTGCTGGATTAATGGTCAGATTACTGTAAAGAGGCCACTTGCCTGCCTCTTGACCTCTGCTGACCCTGCATAGTTGCCTTGAGTAGATATAGGGGCAGGAGTTCTTGCTTCTAAGAACAAGTTTGGGGTTGGGAGGAGGTCGGTGGGGGGTTAGGAACATATTAAAGAGGGCTAGCAGAGGCCATCTCTTCACAGCGAGTGAAAAGCTTGGCATCTAGTGACTACCTGAACAAGACACAAACAGTGCTATGCTGCAGGTGCCTCTTGGGCCATACCGCTTTTACAGTAAGCTGCCTACCAGATATATCAGGGTGCCCCAGCCTTAGTATTCTGAGCATCACATGACTGGGTTTTGCTGTACCAGGCTCCAAAATTCAGTCTCAGTTCTGAGCTACCTTAGAGATCCAGGAGTTTGGAGCAGCAAGGTCCATTTGGGCTCATCCCTGATTGCTCCTTGGGCTCTGGGAAACATTAAAATCAGAATGCATGTGGATTTTTGGTAACCAGCTAGAAACACAAACAAGGCTTGCTGAGGTTTGCAGACAACTGAATGAGTCTCTGCTTATTTATAGTATTGTGTGGAAGTTGAGCAAAAGCAATATCTGTAACTGAATTTAACACTGAGATTTAACCCCAAGAATTCAAAAGGAATAGAACTGATTTTACAGCATTCTACACTGCTTTGGAAGTGTCAGGGACCAGCTCCCCTTCTTTTCCTGGAGAAGAAGCCAATTTGCCCCTTCCCAAGTACACCTTCTCCTGAGATCTCAGGAACCAGTTTTTCCCAAGCCCCCACTGTGGCACAGAACTCTGTAATACCTCTTCTGAAACAATGACCTGGCACCTTCATTGACACTGGGGGACCAGATGCACAAGAAACTGTGATACAGCTGAGGGGAGTCATGCATGAGTAGCTGTCTAAGACAATCGTGGTATGAAGGGTGCTATTCCTGCAGTGAACTTTTCTGCCTGGTTTGGAACTAGAAGCAAAACCCATTCATTCGCAAATCCTGGGCCTGCCAAAGATTTTCTGTGCAACTTCTGAGCAAGTCTCTGTCACTCCTGGCATGTTTATGCTACTGAAGAGCAGGCGCCACTTCTCTGCTTTTGCTTTGCACAGGTCAAACCTGGAAATGAGGCAGTGAAGCTGCCCTGTACCACTGCTGTCAAGATCTGTCTGGCTCTGCCTCATTTTGAGACTGGTGTGTGTGAAATGCCATGGTTCTGGGTGGTACTTTTTAAGACTGCTACAGAAGCAATGTTGACATGCCCTTTGACTTTCTGTTCCTCATGTGTAATAATAATATTAATAATACACTTCCCTACTGCATGGGATGTTAGGAAGGCAAACAACATTAAAGAAGGTGAGGTGCTGTCCCACGCTTTAATTACACCAGTGGACTTTAAATTGAAGCTACCACAGGGTTAGTTTTTATTATTGCAGCTTTGTTGCAAGATGTCTGCCATTGTTCCAAAGCTTTGCACCGCATCTTCAGGGGTGGTTTTAAACACAGCAGAGCGTGTGGCTTCTTGGACTAGTGCAGTAACCTTAGTAGCTCATAGCCCACTATCCCGGGTCCTCTAATGCATATGGTAGCAGCACTCCAGATGAAAAATGTACACAACTTAACTTTCTCTCCCCTTTTGGGGGTCCCACCTGATTCAGAAGACCTGGTTCATTACCTCTTAGCTTGAGGCCCTGCAAATCCTACACCAAGGAAATCCAAATCCAGCCTAACCTGTTATCTGAACTCCTCTGAACCTTGGCTCTGGATCCAAGCCTTGCCTCCCTGGCTCCTCTCTATCTAGTCTCTGTGTCACTCATGACTCCTCTTGCTGTTATTTTTACACAGAGTACTCTCTTGACATTTTAATGGTGTTCATTTTTATTACCTGAAAACAAACTGTCAGAGGCTTGTTTACAAACCCTTGGTACACAGCAGGCAGAGAGACCTTCTAGCTGACAGGCATTCTCACGTGGTTAGGCACCAGAAACAGACTTGGACAAGAGGACCAAGATATCTTCTGGTGGATCTCCTATCTTGTAGGGACATGTAAACAGTGTGCAGTTAATCTAATCAGAACTGCCAGCATATGCACCATTTATTTTGGAAACTGTGTGTTCCTTTTGGTCAGTCTTCCTGCTTTTGTTGGTGCAGTTGGCTTTGTTTTGTAGAGGGGCCACAACAGGGGCTGACTACTCAGAACACAAGTGTTTTCCATGATCCTTTAGATTGACTGTAAAATATGCCTGAATTAACTTCTGAATCCCAACATGCATGGAGCTCAAGTTGTGTATGAGCCCAGATCCAAATTTCACAGTGAGCCAAATCCACTCAAAATTCCAGCTCTAAGCTGTTTCTTCTGCCATTTGCACATTTGAAACCAGATATGAATTTTTGAGATTGGAATCCCCTTTAACACTGGCAATAACTGATGACGCACATTTAGTACATTGATACACTGACCTTCAGATGTGCAATCAATTCTAAGTACGTGGGTAGACCAAAGCTGCTTCCTAACCTCTTCAAATATATGAATCAGTTTATTAGACCAGGACTTTAGGTGTCCCTGACGATACTTTAATGCTGCGTTTGACTGGAGGTTGGTATTGGAATTCCAAAAGATGGGTTGGAAAATAGAAATAGGCTTTAGTTACTGTGAAACTGGCTCTAGATTTCAAACAGGCCCAGTGTTGTATATGTACCTATGCATACAGCCTGCAACTCGCTGCATTTCTGTTCCTTTCTTGGCCAATCTCTGTATCAGGCCCTTGTGAGACACTTGCCTTTTCATAGTTTGTGTACGCTGTATTATGTGGTGACCTGCGCACTCCAAATTTCTCCAGATCCTAAAACTGGGGCTTGGGTAGCAGGTTTGACCCTATGCAGTTGAATGGGAGATGAGCAGGAACAGCAGCGGCTTACTGGAGACCAGGACTTGACAGTCTCTTCTGCAGTATTAGCACTGGTGCCTGAGTCAGTGGCTGAAAACCACTGGACTGGAATGCATAGTCCGGCATAGCGTATTTGCCAGGTTTGGTTTGACACTGATCTTCTGGGTGGCCTTGGAGAAGTCACTTATAGGAAGACAGCCCTCCTGGGCTCTTTGTTGCCTGTGTGCATACACTTGAAAAGTTGCTGCTCAGAGAGAAGAGGGGTGTGGCCCTACCCTCCGGCCTCAGTACCTGGCAGATCAAGGCTGTCGCAAGACAGGTACTTGCTGCCCTCTTCCAAAGGCTGACACTGCTCCTTCTCTATCGTGCGTCTCCCTCCAGCAGCAATCCTGGCTCAGCCAGCCTCTTCTAAAGACCCTTCTCTTCCCTAGACACCCCGATGTGAGCTCAGACTCTATGGCTCCCTCTGCCTGATATATTTCACAGGAGTCCCCATGGAGCTGAGCCTTTCTTTCTCTCTCAAGCACATGATTTCTCTGTGTATCAAGTATTTATACTACAGACCTCAGTCTGCCAATTGTGGGAACACAAGCCAGCTCCTCTGATCCTAGTCATTGAAACAGGATCTCTGGCTCCCGTAGACACATGCTAATGAAAATGTAATGAAAATGTTCTGGTCGACAGGCAGACGCTGCCTGCCCCCCTCCCCTCCCCACGCACGGCAGTCTCCATGTGCTTCACCAACTATTTTTGTAAAGGTCTGTCCCTCATTTACCTTCCATCCCCCTCCTGCCCCCACCCCCTCCCCATGCTGTATCTGCCCAGGCACCAGATCTGCTGGAATAGTCCATGTATGCATGATGTCAGAGGCAAAGGAATGCAAGGCAGGCTGGGAGGAGGCGGTTGATTGTGAGCAAGCCTGGTGACAGAATGACATGACTAAGAGCCAGCTGGCTAATTAAAGCAGAGAGGTGGGAGGAGCAAAGTATTTAAGGGTGCCAGGGAGGGTGAGGCCTCCCCAAATTTCTCCTTACACTTCAGTGAGCCAAGCAGCAGAGCAACGCAGAGCAAGCCTTTGTTAACCCTTTCACGTCTCACCTCTGGTTAAACCGGGGAGGTGCCAGAAAATGGCACCTTTAACTGAAAAGCCTGATCCAAGGTAAGGATGCTACTGTCCGATTTCTGACTAGCAAAATGCCTCTGGTGCTTTGCACTCCCAGGCCTTTGTGTGGTACTGGCCTTGGATGAGTGAAGTGTTAGCTTGCACCAGCTGGGGTGACACTCATTACTTTGCAGATCATCTATCAGTTAGAAGACAGGAGTTATCCATGTATTTTTGAAAGGGTTTCACATTGCCCTGCATTCCTGGAGATGGGCAAGTCCTGACCTCCATTTCTTCTTCCTTTCTACCAGAGTACTAGGGAAAAGGGGAGTTTGCAAAATTTGTGTATTGGTTTTAATACTGGCTTGTCACTGAATTTGGAGTGATAGGCACAAATCTGGGCTTTTGTCCATTTTATTTTGCATCTTATGCTCAAATGTTTTGAATCCTATCTTTATTTTATTAATTCTTTTGGGCAATTCAACTAGTGTGGGTATTAAACTAGAAAAATGAAGAGAATGGGCATTTAAAGAGTCATTTTTGAGGGTAATGCTTTGCTATTCCTGAAGGCACTTGGAATGTGAGGTCAAATTTGGCCTCTGCCTTTTAACATTTCAGATCAATCTATACGTGAAATATTCTTCCTAGGGCCTTTCTACCGCTGGGTGCATGCATAGCAATTACAGTCTTAATTTTAGACTGTAAATGACATCAGAGCCAGCATCGTCCAGTGGACGAAGCCTAGGATTAAGAGTCAGGACTTCTGATTCTGTTCCCAGATGTGCTTCTGGCATGCTGTGTGCCTTTGGGCATGTCACTGTGGCCACTCATTTGTGTTCAGTTAGAGTTTGTGCCAATCATACTGGCTATAAAGCCAGCACAACCAGCCCCCCCCGGGGGAACAGACCCAGCAGAGTGACTACACTACACTACACCTCCTCTGTGCAGTCCGTGGCATAAGAGTATGTGACCCAGAAGAGGAGAGCACATCTAGAGTTACCCCTGTGCATTAGTTAAACTTGGCTTTTGCAACAGGTTGTTACAGCTGTACATGCATCTCAAGAGTTTGCTTTTATTCTTTAGCTTATGCTGGAAAGGACCAGATTATTCCCTTAGGATTTGGTTCCTATCTTCCCCTCAATCCTGTACCAGTTTAGTTGATTTTAGCTGCAGTTAAAAATTGGGGCCTGCATCTCCCATCGCTGTATGATGCTGCCTTATTGCTTACATGCCTACCTTATGTGCTGCTGAATTTGTGAACATTTGTGTGCAGTGCTTTGAAGAAAAACGTGAATTGTTAACACTGGTCCCCAATTAAAAAAAACTCAGTACTAGTAGCTAACAGTTCTCACAGTGCATGATCAGAGATACCAGGGATCAGTGCATGATCAGAAATGTGTTCCCCATATCTTAGACAGTTTAGGGAGCTTGGTATCATCAGATGCTGCAGTGCAGTGACGTCCTATTCTTAGAGACACCACTTGTTTAAATCTAGGTAGCAGTATTATTAAAGAGCTGCTTTATTCATGCATCTCACTGCCAATCTTAACCTCCCCACTCATGTTTTAAGGGAGTTTGTATCTGTATATAAATTTTGTAGTTTAGGCCAATCTCTTCTTAACATTTTGACAATGACAAATGGTTTTACTCAGATTTATTTACTGCTTCATTTGTTAGTAGCTGTATAACTTGAAAGCTGCCTTCAACATTGTTTTACTGCACAAAGTTACATCATGAGGAGATTGATGGACACTTTTGGGATTATCTAATCTATTGTGTTTATAGGGTGCCATTCAGGGTAGAAAACAGGCAGTTTATTATGTGTCTGTGTCTCTGGAGAGTTGTTGCATCAAAATTCTGTGGCCAGCTGCATGACTCCATGGCTTTAGCACTGCAAATAATTGGGGTTTCTGGAAATTGCAGCCATGATTGTGTCCATTCATTTGGAACAGATGTTCTGCAAAATCAGAAATTCCCCCAAATTCAAGGTGCTTGTTGCCATAAGCATAGTACAGGAGTCTCTAAATTGCACATGTATTCCAACCAACTTGGGCCAAATGAATCCATTGTATATAGCTCACATATTTTCTCTGAGCTGAAATGTAAAACCAATAACACTAGGCCTGTGCAAAATGGAAAGTATTCATTTCAGATTTGGATTTGGCAATTCGGAGGGACAGTGATTCGATTAGGTGATTCAAATCACTGTCCTGATTTTGATTTGGCCGAATCCGAAGATATTCGGCACCGAATCCTATTCAGCCATAGACTATACAGGCAGGCAGTGCCAGTAGGAGCAGCTGGGGGAGCAGTCGGACAAGCCCTGGCTTGAGCCGGCAGCCCCGGGAAAAGGCATGGTTTGTCTGCTTCCCCCCCACCCAGTGGGATGAGGGAGGCAGTGCTGGCTGCCCCGGGACAAGCCACAGGGGCTGGGGGAAATGACTGGGGAGCTGGGAGATCAAACTGGGAGCTGTGGGGAAGCCCCTATTTGTTCCCCCAGCCCCCGATCATTCCTCCCAGCCCCTGTGGCTTCTCCTGGGGCTGGCAGCACTGCCTGCCTCACTCCAGTCGGGGAGCAGCCGGACGAGCCACAGCTTGAGCCGGCAGCCCCGGGAGAAACTGTGGGGCCTGGGGGGAATGATTGGGGAGCTAGGGGAAATGATTAGGGGCTGGGGGAACAAACAGGGGATTCCCCCCAGCTCCCAGTTCAGTCCCCCAGCTACTGACCATTCCTCCGAGCTCCCCATTTATTCCCCCCAGCCCCTGCAGCTTCTCCCGGGGCTGCCAGCCCTACCTGCCTCATCCTGGCGGGGGGCCAGCCAGGGGACGAGCTGCATCTTTTCCTGGGGCCGCTGGCTCAAGCCAGGGCTCATCCGGTTGTTCCCCCAGTTGCTTTTGCCAGCACTGCCTAGTGCCTGCCTGTACAGTCTATGGCCAAATCTCCGAATCTTTCTGAATCCATTTGGAGGCTTCCAATTCAATTCGGAGTGTTTAATGAATCTCCCAATTTGATCTGGATTCAGAGATTTGGCTGCTGAATAGGGCCGAATCTCCTCCAGATTGAATTGGCTACCAAAGCTTCACGTAGCCCTACCAAACACCTATGGTAATTGTGGATCCCATGATACTTTTTGAAGGAACAGGGTGTACAAAACCTGGAGTCATTAACTTCATTTCCTCTCATTAATTCTGACCATATTGAAATTCTAGTTATTACATTCTCCCCACAGCCTCCCTAAGATTAGGTACCCTGACCTGCTCATTGTTGCTATGTGCTGTTCCTCATTTGCTGATACCACCCCAAAGTTGGCAGCATTTCAGGTGGATGTAGTATGTTTCCATATATAGACTGTAAATCAGTGTAAATTTGCAAAGTGGTCTAGGATCCTGTGTGATTGGGGTTGAAACAAAACCTCATGGCTCAGTAGCACCGTTTTTTGTTTGGTTTTTTTGGTGTGGGTGGGTGTGTACATGTCTTGGAAGTCAGTCATATATAAGCTAGATATTACTAAGATCCAACCCAAAGTGCTTTTTTCTTTGTTTAATGTCTGTCTGATATTTTAGGATATGGTTAGCTGGTGCATGTGGAGGTCTGTATTTATATAGAGACATGGTTAAAAAATACAAGCCTCTCATGTGCTAGTAAAGAGAGCAGCCATATTTTTTTAATAAATCTACTGCTGTAGGTGATAGGTTGTACTAACAACTACTGCTACCATTGTCTTATTCACCTGCAAGATGCAAGTCAGGGAGCAGTCATGATAAGATCAGAGTAAGTCAGTGCCTAAGTACGCTAAACTAAAATCTGTTGTCATGGGTAGCGATGTTTTCAGTCCTGGAGGTACCAAGTAAGAGCAGACGACTCGCATAAGGAAGTTTTTATCATTGCCAGCTCCGCATTTGGACTATTCAGTACAAAACAAACCATTGCGTCATTGCTTTCTGGTCTGTTAGAGTTTATGGGGACTTGCTGGCTCAGGGGAGAAGAGATCTTTTTACCTCTAGACCTCTGTCAGTGCAATTTGATGACTTGTTTTACACACGCCACTGAATAACTCCTGTCCATTTCTTTGTGGAGAGGCCCATACCCGTCCAATCTGCTTTAGTTTCATTAGTGTTTGGCTGCTGCTGGATTTGTTAAGTTGCCTCAGTAAGCAGGACAGAAAAGGAATGGAGCATGGACACTGAACCCATCTCACACCTACATGCTCTCCCTTTTCAAGAATTGGGCAGAATTGCTGATGATGTAGGCAAAGCTTTGCTCTTTTGGTCTCTGAGACCAATAATTCAGTCTGCAGAGTGGTTGATCTGCAACATTTTTTAATCTGCACAGAATTTCCTTTCTTAGTCCAGAGTCTCAGTTATTTTCATTGTAATTTTTATCTTTGATTTAATGGGCAGGAATGGTAGTATGTAGAACTGTGCCCCATTGCTTTGAATATGTTTAGCGTAGCCTAGCGAAGTGAGTGGAAACACTCATTTTTAGTGTTGAGTTGGGAACACGATTGTTCTCTAAATACATCGGGGGTAAACACCAGGGAGGAAGAATAGATATTTAAACTAAAGGACAATGCTGGCACAAGAACAAATGGATATGTCATGAAATAAATTTAGGTCTGAAATTAGAAGCAGACATCTGTCTGTCTGTAACAGGAGTGAGGCTCTGGAGTAGTCTTCCAATAGGAGAAGAGGGGGCAAGAAACCTAATCAATTTGAAGGTGGAATTTGATAAATTTATGAGCAAGATTATATGTTGTAGTTGCCTGCGTTAGCCGGGGCCTGCATTTGTTGACCCTGAATGTCCCTTTTGGTCCTACATTCCTATACCCTGACCTTGTACTGACTTAATGTGGGTTTACTCTAACAACCATCACTGAAAGATGACTTCACCCAGAAACATCTCTGAGTTCTTGAAACGGCATGTTCAAGTTTACATTTCCTATTAAACTTCTGTTATACAGTACAGGACAGCCCTGCTAATTTGCGCAAACGATCAGCACGGCCATTGCACGTTGCTGAATTTTGCAAATTAGCAACTGGACAAATATGCAGCATGA